ACAGTATATGTTTTGCACTTCTGCTATTAAATTTATAACATTCTTTTTGATGCTATTGTATAAAATTTTTTCTTAATTTTCAATTTGCTGCTACTGTACAGAAATCCCATCGACTTTTGTATGTTGACTTTGTGTTCTACAACCTTGCTGAACTCATTTCCATTTATAATAGTTTTTAGTGGATTTCTGAGGTTTTCTACATACATACAAAATCATGACATCTAATGGAGATAGTTTTACTTCTTCTTTTTTTTTTTTTTTTTTTTCTATTTTTTATTGCATTTTAGGTTTTGGGGTACATGTGAAGAACATTCAAGATGGTGTCTTGCTTTGTCGCCCAGGCTGGAGTGCAGTGGTGCGATTTTGGCTCACTGCAACCACTGCTTCCTGGGTTCAGGCAATTCTCGTGCCTCAGCCTCCCACATAGCTGGGAGTAACAGACATGTGGCACCCACACCTAGTTAATTTTTGTATTTTAATAGAGACAGAGTTTCACCGTGTTGGCCAGGCTGGTCTTGAACTCCTGACTTTAAGTGATCCACCTGCCTCGGCCTCTGAAATTGCTGGGATTACAGGCATGAGCCACCTCTCCTGGCCAAGCCATTTGTTTTTCTTTTCTAATTTACCCATTTTGTTGTGATTTTCGTCATTGGCTTATTAATATATAAGTGCTGTTTATGTAGAGAAGATATGAATCCCCTATTCCATGTATGTTACAAGTATAAGACTCTTAGCTGGGGGGCGGCTCCCTCCCTGCTAACAGTGGACATCTGGGCAGGTGAGCCCACTTCTCTGAGCCCTATCTGTGATAATACAGGTAAGGAATATGGGGTGCTCTTGAACAGAATGTTCCAAGCAGACATGCACTGTTATTGTTAGTAACCGTGCAGATGCTGAGGATCCACAGACAGGGAACAGTCAGAATGGCCCTGCCCAGGCCAGAGGCCGGTCTTCCCAGGTACTGAAGGGACAGAAAGGATGGAGGCAGCCTGGGGATGAAGACCCAGGTGGCCATGGTTGACCTTGGCAGAACCACAAACTGGCTGTGTGACCTCAGTGTCCCTGAGCCATGGTTTCTGGGGCTGCAGAATGGGGGAGGCTGTTCTTCCAAGGACACCATGGCTCCTGTCCTTATGTGTACCAGGCATAGCCACCTTCCAGATGCCTTGGCATTGTACATGTTTCCTCTGCACACCAGTCCAGGGTGGGCACAATAGCTGTGCTGACGTTGAGGCCAGAGCAGGCTCCCTTCCCTGGGTCTCCAAATGTGCGTGGCGGAGGTGGACTGGGCGCTCTGCAGGCTTGAGCCCATGCGTTCATTTCTGTGCTGTTGCCCAGCAGCCGCTGCAGCGCTCAGCACAGAGTAGGACCTGGGCATTTTTCTTCCTCTATTATTATTGTTGCTGATATTTCTGCTTTGGTTATTGTCACCTTTGGGCCCTGGGAAGAATCCCAAGCACTAAATAGCACACTGGGCTGAGATGTGTTTGACTGAAGTTTTGTATCAGATTTGAGCCAGTCCACTTAACAAATCCATAAAAAACAGCGGCCTAATTCCAGCTGGAGTTTATTTCTGTCCCTTCTTAGGATCTGAGAGGTTGGTCTGCCCTTTCACACTGCCATCTTTGCTCCCTGTGTTGGTCAGGATTCTCTAGAGGGACAGGAATAATAGGACAGATGTATATATAAAGCGGAGTTTATTAAGGAAGATCGACTCACACGATCACAAGATGAAGTCCTACAATAGGTTGTCTGCAAGCTGAGGAGCGAGGGAGCCAGTCCAAGTCCCCAAACCTCAAAAGTAGGGAAGACAGTGCAGCCTTCAGTCTGTGGCTAAAGGCCCACAAGCGCTTGGCAAACCACTGATGTAAGTCCAAGAATCCAATAGCTGAAGAATTGGAGTCTGATGTTCAAGGGCAGGAAGCATCTAGCACGGGAGAAAGATGGAGACCAGAAGACTCAGCCAGACTAGTCCTTCCACGTTCCTCTAACTGCTTTTATTCTAGCCTCACTGGCAGCTGATTAGATGGTGCCCATCAGATTTAGGGTGGGCCTGCTTCTCCCAGTCCACCAAATGAAATGTTAATCTCCTTTGGCAACACCCTTACAGACACACCCAGGGACTATACTTTGCATCCTTCCGTCCGATCAAGTTAACACTCAATATTAACCATCACACTCCCCAATGCAGAAGTGGCACAGCATCTGTGCTCATGCCCCATTGGCCAGGTTCAGTCACACGACTGCTCCCAGGTGCTGGGCAGGTTGGGAAATGTAGTTTTCGCTGGTGATCACATTTCCAGCTGCAACTCTGGAGTGGGGAGAAAGAGATACTAGAGGCAACAGCAGCCAGGGGTGGGGATTAGAGTTGAGGCTGCCCAGGATGAGCTGACATGGGGCAGATTCTCTCCGCTGGGCTTGTGGGGACTCCTGACGCAGTGTGCTGAGTCTCCATTCCATCCCTACCACCTTCAATTTCCATCCTAGATGGGCTTGTGAATTCAGATGTGGGGTAAGAAATGGAGTGATGGCCGGACGCAGTGGCTCACGCCTGTAATCCTAACACTTTGGGAGGCTGAGGTGGGTGGATCACGAGGTCAGGAGATCGAGACCATCCTGCCCAACATGGTGAAACCCCGTATCTACTAAAAATACAAAAATTAGCTGGGTGTGGTTGTGCGTACCTGTAATCCCAGCTACTCAGGAGGCTGAGGCAGGAGGATGACTTGAACCAGGGAGTTAGAGGTTGCAGTGAGCTGAGATCATGCCACTGCACTCCAGCCTGGTGACAAAGCGAGACCCCATGTCAAAAAAAAAAAAAAACGAAATAGAGTGATAACATCCCAGAGATGAAGACCTTGCCTGGGCATACAGCCAGCCCATGTGACTGCTCCTGGGAGGACATGAACAAATCTGGGGGATGGTATGTCTTTGGTAAACATTTTAAATTAGAGTCCACAAAGTTTGCTGGCGAATTGGTTATAAATTGAGAAAGTAGGTTTCAAGGTTTGGGGCCCAAGCAACTGAAGGATGGTGGGACTGCTGATTTAAATTAAAGTTATAATAGGAGAAGCCACATGGTCAGCAGGTTGGGGGAGCTCAGAAGCTTGGCTAGGTCACATCGTCAGGCTCAGTGGGTAGTAGGACTTCCATGCCTAGCACCCAGGGCATGGTCCCCAATACAGTGCACAGAGGACAGAAGAAGGTCGTAGCAGGTCAGTGTGGAATAATGGGGTCCATCAGACTCTACATGCCTCAGTTTTTGTCCCCACCATCACCCCAATCTCTGGGTGTTGGTCCCTGCCGGTGCAGAGGGAGACAGGCACGGAGATGCTCACGTGCCCCTTCACCGCTGCTGACTCCAGCCAGTCTCTGCCTCTGCACACACCATGCACCAGCCCGGCCTGTTCTCTCAAAGAACAGCTCTCCCTGTTCTTTGCCTGTGATGCACCAGCAGTCCACTCTCAATGCCCCAAAATCGGGAAATACTAGATACACAGGAGTAAGAGCCTCTTGCACTTGGACACTAGGAGACCTGCCCGAGGATGTCCTTAGCAGCTTCACTGAACATCCTAAACCCCAGAGGCAACTCAGATCCAGGGAACAGGGACACACACTGAGGCCCATCCGCACAATGGAACACTTCACTGCTGTGAAAAGTAACCAGCTGCTGACACGTGCAGAGCATGATGACTCATGTGCATTGTGTGTGTGTGTCTGTGTGTATGAATGTGTGTGAAGTTAGACCAGAGCCTCCTTGTCTGGTTCTGAGTCTTCCCTGCAGCATAAGAGCTGTGTGACTGCAGGAAGTGTTGTAAGATCCTCTGCCCAGTTTGCTCATCTGTCGATGGGGTTAATGACGGTTCTCCATGGCTAGGCTGCTGTGCCGATAGATGATAGCACATGCAAGGCAGGTGCTACGGCGTCCAGCCACAGTGAGCTTCTCAGTCCCAGCTGTTCTCATTGCTATAATTTTATAAAAATTCTTGATTGCTGCTGTATCCAAAGCATCTCTGTGTCCTTACTTAAGAACATCACTGTAACTGCTCTCTAGTGTTTTACTGTCTGGATGGACTTGGGTGAGGGAATCATTCCCTCCTGCTGGAGACATGGGTTGTTTCAGCCTTTCACTATTCTGTATGGCTCTGAGATGGGCTTCCCATAGAGAAATCTTGGCAGCACATCCTTATTTCCTGTGGCTAAAGGTGGATATGCAACATAGGGCCCTTACTGCATTTACCAAACGCTCTGCAGAAAGGTTGGATCTGTACCCCAACTCAGGAACAGGGCTTCCCAGGCCCTGCCAATTTGTACATTGTCTGTTTTCTTTGCGCCTTCACCTCATTGACGTAGGAAAAATGAGCTCTTCCTTGAATCAGCATTTCCTTAATTGCTGTTAGTCTATATTTTTCATGTCTGTGGGCCATTGGTATCCTTGTGAATTGCTTGTTCACAATTAGAACTTGTTGGGTTTTTTTAACGGAATATTCCATTTTTATTGATGTGTAAGACCTCTTCATAAATGAAGGCTATTGAACCAACCTTTGTCCTGTGTTTTCCAAATATCTTTTCCCCAATTTTTCACCCGAGTTGGTTGTTTTCCATTATTAGGGAGCTGCAGAAGCTTTTGCTTTCTGCTTTGTATGCAGTCAAATCTGTTGATCTCTCTCCCTCTCTTTTTTTTCCCACTGATTTCTGCCTTTGGAGCTGTGCTTAGATCATAATCAAAGGGCATGCCTCAATATTTGTTTTTATTGTCTTCTGATACTTTCTTCTTTTTTTAACACTCCAATCCTCAACATCTAGAGTTTACTTCATGGAGGGATCCAGCTGCTTTGTCCCAGGGTCTGGATGGCCCCTGTGACCTCCAGAGTATCCGGTGGCCTTCGGAGCTGCACCCCGCCCCTTTGCTCCCCAATGCTGTGCCAGCTTCACCGTCCAGGGTCCCACCCTGCCCTGCATGCCCAGCCCCCATGCCTCACACCTACCTCTCTCCCCAGGCACCTGCGCTCAGCTGCAGCTGTCCCCGCAAGCCACCTTCCAAGTCCTTCGTGGTGATGGTGCTTCCGTGGGGACCGTACTCATGTTCCGTTGCCCCTCCAACCACCAGATGGTGGGGTCTGGGCTCCTCACCTGCACCTGGAAGGGAAGCATCGCTGAGTGGTCTTCAGGGTCCCCAGTGTGCAAACGTAAGGACCATTCTGTCAGCTTGGTGGCTCTGGGGGTGCGGGATGGTCCCAAATCCTGTCAGGAGGATGGTGTGGGTGGGGATGGCGTGGGTGTCCACTCACAAGCAGCTAGGCCAGTAGGGTCCCATTCCCAACACTGACAGCTTGCTTACAAGTCAGCAGCCGGCTGTCAGCCCTCAGCCCTCCGAGTGCCACATCAGCAGTGTGGACCCAAAGCCTCGCAGTGGGCCTGCAATCCTGGCTCTGCTACCAACTTAGCCCCTCACTGCCAAGAGGCTGCTCATGCTCTCTGAGCCAGCACTTTTTCTCTGTTAAGCAGGAAACCGTTCATTCATTCATTCATTCATTCATTCACATACATGTGCATATGGCGAACTTTAATAGGATATTGCATGTATCAAGAATCCTAAGTACTGGCCACCTAGAAGGCCATGACCTGCCTGGCCCTGGAGCTCCCAGTCTGTGAGAGGAGCTGGTTTTCTGGTTGTATTTGTTGTACAGGCGTTGAAGGGTCCACAAGATAGTCCCTTTTCAATGCCCAGCATGACATTTCCAAAATGAAGCCGTGTGTTATGTTAATGTGTTTTATGCATAAAAAGGGCTCAGAGTCAAAATAGTTTGGCAGACTCTGGGATTTTATGCTGCAGGACTTCTCAGAGCCTTTAAAATGTTCACTGGTTAGGTGATTGAGAATGCAAGTGTTAGGATTAGATTCTGAGAGGCAGAAAACCCAAAATACTATGATCAGCCATGATGGAGCCCAGCCTTCAGGGTGGGCAGGCAGGCCTGTGTGAGCTCCAGGTGGAGGGAGCCAGGCCCCTTCCCTGTCATGGCTCTGCTGGGCACGGCCTCAGCGTCATGATCCAAGGTGGCAGCAGCTGTGTTCCAGGCAGCTGTTATGGGGTAAGAGGCCTCAGGGCCAAAGGGCAGGCCCCAGTGTCTCAGGAAAGGTGCTTGGTAGTTTCTCCACATCACTTCTTATCCTCCATTGGCCAGAACATGGCCCTGTGACCACTGGGAAATGTAGTCTCCATTCTGGGTGGTCAGCATCTACTAGGGAGCATAAGAAATGGGGACCAGGGGACAGGGCCATATCCCCTACAGGGGAGTACATGGTGTTGCTCAAATTAGGATTCCAGGGCCTTTTTTCCCCAGAACATCTGTAGAATCTGATGGAACTAGTTTTTGGAGCATAGCTGAGGTCACACGGCAGATACATAGTATTTTGGGACTTCCTGGAAAGTGACCTGAGAAGACATGTAAGCCCCTGAAGAATGTTGCCAGCTTGGGGCAACATTGTGAAAACTCACATGGGCTGGGCAAGGCCTCCTCAGCACTGTTGTCACCTCCTCTCTGTGCCTTGCCCTTCCTCCATTCCTCAAGCAGGACTCCAGTGGGTAGGAGCCAGGGAGGCCCTCACTCTGAACTCCCTGCCAGAGCTTCTCCAATGTCCAAGTCACTCTGCAAACTCCTACACACCCTACAAAAACCAGCTCAAGTAACCCCTTCAATTAGCCACTCTGCATACTCCTGCACACCCTGCTCAAATATCTATTTCTTGGGGAGAGTCTTCTCTGATAGCGCCACCTCCAGATACAGTTTGCACAGATCTTTGCCTCAGCCCCCCACACCTTACTGCCCCCTTACCATGCATCACAGCTCACTGAGGGTCAGCCAGGCCCTGTCCACACCCAGGACCTGCCCCTACCACCTCTGAGGCCCCCAGCCCTGGGGCCAGGCAGATCTGGGCGAACCTGGGGCCAGGCAGACCTGGGCGAACCTGGGGCCAGGCAGACCTGGGCAAACCTTGCCCAGGAGCTGGCAGCTGTCTCCACACAGTGGTGCCGCCGCATGAGACCTTTGGCTTCAAGGTGGCTGTGGTCGCCTCCATCGTGAGCTGCGCCATCATCCTGCTCATGTCCATGGCCTTCCTCACCTGCTGCCTCCTCAAGTGCATGAAGAAGGGTGAGCAACGGCGTTCCAACAGGTACAGTGGCCTCGTGGTCTCGGGGTCCTTCCAGGAGGCACCTCTTGGCACCATCAGAGGAGGAGAGGGCAGAGTGTTTCATAGGAACCCTGGCACTGCCCTCAGGGCACCCATTCCTGCCACCACTGCTCTGGGCCTGCGTCTCACCATCATACCAAGTGCTGCTTCTGGCCCACACAGCGGCCACAGGCAGCATCACAGCTGGGGGACACATGGGCCCCCAAGGCCCTGCTTTTAGGCCAGGCCATGGGTTCACGTGGGATTGTTTTATTCTTTTTTTTTTTTTTTTTTTTGAGATGGGGTCTCACTTTGTTGCCTAGGCTGGAGTGCAGGGGTGTCATCTCAGCTCACTACAACCTCCACCTCCAAGGTTCAATCAGTTCTCCTGCCTCAGCCTCCCTAGAAGCTGGCATTACAGGCAGGTACCACCACACCTGACACATTTTTTGTATTTTTAGTGAAGATGGGGTCTCACCGTATTGGCCAGGCTGGTCTTGAACTCCTGACCTCAGGTGATCTGCCCACCTTGTCCTCCCAAAGTGCTGGGATTACAGACGTGAGCCACTGCGCCCAGCACTCTGCTGTGTTAATGGGCTGCAGGGCTGCCACACACGCCCCTTAAACCTTGAGGGGGGTGTCACTGTCACTGCAGACAGAGGGCTGCTCAACTACAGCCCACCAGCTAAGTCTGGCTTTCTGTCAGGATTTTCCCCATGGTAATTTATTTATTTATGTATTTATTGTTTTTATTTTTTATTGTGGTAAAATACCAATACATAAAACCTACCTTTTTAACGTCTATGGTTCAGTGGCATTAAGTATGTTCACGATGTAGTGCAGCCATCAGCACCATCCAGCCCTAGGACTTTGCACCACCTGTATTTGTAAGTAAAGTTTTACTGGAACACAGCCACGTTCATTGTCTACTGGTGTGTGGCTGCTTTTGGGCTGCAGTGGCAGAGTTTAGCTGTGGGAGAAATCGTGTGCCTCACCGCACCTACAACATCCACTCTTTGAGAGGTTTGCCAGCCTGCCCTGGCACTGCACAGGGTGCCCTGGGCCTACATGGAGCCCATTTCCGCTGCTGTCAGGGTCACGTGTGCATGCTCAGAGTCCTTCCTCCCAAACTCTCCTCCAGGTCAGCCCAGCTGTGGTCCCAGCTGAGAGATGAGGACTTGGAGACCGTGCAGGCCGCATACCTGGGCCTCAAGCACTTCAACAAACCCATGAGCGGGCCCAGCCAGGCACACGACAACCACAGCTTCACCACGTGAGCCTGGGTCTGGGTGGGGGGGCATGCTGGGGGACAAGGGGTCCAGCTTGGTCAGGCCCTGGGGCACCTGCTGCTCCCACATGCTGAGAGCCGGGGCACACCTGGCTCACCCAGAACCTTCACTCTCGTCTCTAAAACAAGAGGCTGGTGGTCTTTGTAGTACTCTTCCTGACTGTGACATTCTAGGACTCAGAGCTGCCCCCAGCAGTGTTTTCATCTGGAAGATCCATCCTCCAGGGAGGCTGAAGCTTCCACACACCCGTGTTCGCTCCACCCACACCCAGCGAGGCTCTGCACTGAGCCGCAATCACTTGTTCTCCCTCCCGCCCCCTCTCCCTCTCCTTTCTCTTTCTCTCTTAATATACACATACATTTTTTTCGCCCTGAACCAATAGAAAGACATTCTTTTTCTGAGTCCAGAAATCTAATATTGATTGGCCGGGTGCGATAGCTCATGCCTTAATCCCAGCAGTTTGTGGGCTGAGGTGGGAGGATCACCTGAGGTCAGGAGTTTGAGACCAGCCTGGCCTACATGGTGAAAACCCAACGGGGTTTCACCCAAACAAAAAATTAGCCTGGCGTGGCGGCAGGCACCTGTCATCCCAGCTACCTGGGAGGCTGAGGCAGGAGAATCGCTTGAGCCCGGGAGGCGGAGGTTGCAGTGAGCCAAGATGGCACCACTGCACTCCAGCCTGGGTGACAGAGCCAGACTCCGTCTCATAAAAAAACAAAACAAAAAGAAACCCAACAACAACAGCAAAAAAACCTGAACAGAAATCTAATATTGATGCACGTGGCCTGTCGAGTGGAGAACATCTCAGTTGATGAGCAGCGTTGAGTGTGCCCACCCTTTGGTCCATAATCACACGCGGTGCTCAGCCGCCAGGTCTCTGAGCTCCTTAAACTGGAATGGGCCTTCAGTTTTTTGTGGCATAGTCTTCTGAGGGTTCCAGGTCAGTGTTCGCATACGGAGCTCCTGTCTGGATCTGTGCGGTGTTTCTGCATCACCAGGCCCCGCTGTGCATTCCTGCTGCAGGGCTGAGTGCGCAGATCATAGCCACGGGCCAGGCTGCCCCCACAGGCCACATGGAATGGGGTCTCTTGGCTGAGGCGAAGCGCCCCAGGTCCCTTCACTGTCAGAGCATGAGGGAGGGGCTCTTAAGGGTCCCTCTGCTGCCTCAGCAGCCTCCTACTCATGGTCTCAGCATGGAGGGGCGATCCTCCAGATCCGTTCTTGCCTTGGGCATTACGGAATGGTGACTTTGTTCATTCTGTTGCAGTTCTGACGTTCCTTCTATCAGGAATGAGGATAAGCTGGTTTTTTCTTTCCTTTCTTTCTTTCAATTTTGTTTTGTTCTTTTAGCATCAGGTTTATCAGGGCTCTTTCCTTTTTTTATTTTTAAGACAGTCTTGCTATGTTGCCCAGGGTGGAGTGCCATAGCACAGTCTCAGCTCACTGCAACCNGCAGTTCTGACGTTCCTTCTATCAGGAATGAGGATAAGCTGGTTTTTTCTTTCCTTTCTTTCTTTCAATTTTGTTTTGTTCTTTTAGCATCAGGTGAACTCGTAAGTATTCTTTCCTGAAATTTATTTTGGGAAAAGTTCAGAAATACACAAAAGTAAAATATTGTCCTGGATCTCCTGCTCCCACCTCCCATTCTCATGGTCACCAGCTCAGCCAGGCCACCCCATTCGAGCCCGCCCCCCCCACATTATTTTCAAGCACACTTTTTGTGGGCTCCAGTTGTTCTTGGCAGTGGGAGCTCCGCCAAGCTGTGGCCTGTGTCCTTCTGATCCTTCGCCGTCAGTCTGTGAGTGCTTCCTGCCTTGCACAAGATGTTCCAGCCCCATCTTGAGCTTTCTGTGCCCGGCCCTGGGGTTGGCCACTGCAGTGCGGGCGGGCACCAAGACGACATCATTGAGCTTGGCTTCCCTTTCTTCAGGCCCTCCCGCTGGAGCCTTTCGAGGCTGCAGTGCGCTTGGTCCCATCCCTTGTGGCCTCACTGGGTGACTGTAACAGTGCATCGGCTTTCTCCCCTGTAAAGTGAGATGGCAGTGGTGCTCACATTCTCAGGTTGTTGAGGCTACCTGAGTCCAGGTGTGTGCCCCTCTTGCCAGGCCCAGGGGGAGAGCTTGGTGAATACTGTCATTGCCACTCTTATGACCTTATGCAGATGGGGAAACTGAGGCACGGGAGGGGGTGATCTGTGTGGCCCTGGGTTGCACACATCGTGTTGGGTCTCGCCAACACCTGCAGGGAGGGAATTCACCTTTCCATCTCCTTTCCTGGCACTTCAGGTGTGCACTGCATCACCAAGGATGCAGCAGGAATGCTGCCATGAGACTTCTGCACTTAGTAGCACGTTCCAGGTCACCGTGGTGGTGTGAGGCCTTCAGGCTGTCATTCCTTGTGGTAGCCTGTTGTCCCAAAGTTTCCAACATCTGCGAGACCCTGCCTGCTGAGCGGTCAGGCATGGTCAGCGTCTTTTTGCTTAGTGCTGTTTTTCTTTTACAAGACCACACTCTTGGGGGCGATCCTGGGAATCCATTGTTTAGGCCTGACGTTCTGAATGTGTTACGACCAGATCCTTTCTCTGGGAGCTCTGGCATAAGTGACTTCGGCCATAGCTTTCTGGGGACTGCACC